CCCCCTTTTTCTCACCCCTGACTATCCCTGCCCATGTTTTTCTGTAACCTACTAATCACCCCTCCCTTTTTCTGCCGCCCGATACCCTCGCTTCCTTCCTTACCCCTGCAGCGCTCTATAGCCCTTGTGGCTTAGCACTTCTTTTTTATTATAATAATAATCCACATCATCAGCAGACACACACATGACTCCTTCACATTTGGTTTATCATTCATATCAATGGAAACAGAATGGGTCCAAATACCAGTCCTTGCAGAATCCCCACTTATTACTCTTCTCCATTCTAATTTCTCTTTCCAGATTATCACTCTGTTTTCTTTAATTTTCTCTCTTCCCTTTCTCCTCTGTCTTCCCATTTGGTCTCTTGTCATTTGTTTCTTTTCTATCCTTTTTAGTGGTGACATTTTTCTCTGGTACAGTGGGGCTTCAGTGATGAGCAGGACATAGTGTGATGGGATTTAGGTGGTACAGTAGGACATGGGTGGAGTGGTGGGGCTTCAGTGGTGTGGCAGAGAGTGGGTGCTGTGGTTGGGTTGGTTGTGTGGCTGGAGCTTGGGTGACGCAGCTGAAATTTGGTAATGCGAGAGAGCATGGATGGTGCTGCAGGACTTGGGTGATGATGTTGGGTAGTGCGGCAGGGCTTGGGTGGTGCAGCAAGGTTTGGGTGTGCAGTGGGGCTTGGGTGATGCAGGAGGCTTGGATCTTTTGGTAGCACTTGGGTGCTCCAGTATGAGTATGCAGTTGGTCTTCAGGTGTTAGGACAACTTGAGGATGAGGTAGAGCTTCCAGGGGTGAGGCAGGACTAAGAGGGGGGGGGGGAATGTAAGACTTGAGGTAGTGGGTATGACTTGATGGTGTGGGTAAGACTTGATAGGATGGGTAGGACTTGAGGGTACAAGGCAAGATTTGTGGGGGAGGGGAGCAGGACCTGGGGGTGACGCAGAGTTTGGAGAGGTAGTCGAAGCAGGATTTGTGGGAGGGTGAGGCAGAACTAAGAGATTCCATGGTACTTGGGATCAGTAGGAGTGCTACATCAGCATGTTAGTTTTGTAATGTTATCATCATGCATATAATTGAAAGCAGTGAGGTTAGTTTAACATCAGTACTACTGTAAATATATAATTTAGGTTTGAAACTGTAGGTAAAAGATGCATGTTCATGGTCAAGACATTAAGGAATGTTTTGCCACAAGTTGCTTCTTCACTCCTAATGAAGAAGCCACTTGTGGCAAAATGGTTAAATATCTTGACAAGTACAAACGTCTTTTACCTACAACTTGTCAATGTCACATACCACATCCGCCACCATATTTGAGACTCTAGAGGAAAACTTGCCATATAAATAAATTCTAAGATCATTTTTTTAACCATGTTTATTTCAGAGCAGAAGTGTTTTACATGAATGCACGGTGCTTCATCATTAGTGACATTTCATTTTGAAAGTGTAGAATTTTATATGCAGTGTGTATTGTATGAACAATTTGTATTGCAAATGTTAGGATCAGTGTTTCAAGTTCAGCTGTACTAGACCCTCAGTATGCAGTGCTGTATTTCCGTAGGCTGATTTTTGTGTCAGTCATTGGTGACTCAGAATATCGTAGCATATTTTCTATAGATAAAAATAGTATGGCATGGCAAATAATTTTGATCTGCTCATACCTAGCCAAAAGATGTTAAAAAATAGGAGAATTATATTTTTATAATTAGTTACATATTTATTATTATTGGTCTGCAGTTTTTAATGAATATTGAAGTTTTCAGAGTTCTCTAGTATATTACAATACTGTAAGTGTATATAAAATTATAAATCTAACTTCATAATAAATCATTAAATTTTTCATTTTAATCTTTAGTTGAAATATGTTTCACTTTTTAAAAACATGATGTATATTTAATTGTTTACACTCTGCAGGTCAAAGTGAACATGATAGCTTAGTATACCACATGAGTGAAGATAGTGGCCTTGGTCGTGCTACTCCTCCTCGCCGTGCTCCTTCTCCAGGAATGGCACGTCACCTACCTTCACCATCTGGTCCTGGTTCCTTACCTCCTGGCCTATTCTCTAAAAGACGGCAAGGTGGATTTGACGATGCAGCCAGTGATATCTCTTCCACCGCTAGTTCCACAATGGACTATTATGGTAAACTTTGTATTCTCTTGCTAATATCCAGTGTGCTATTGAGTGACAAAAATTATGAAAAGAAGTGGGTATCTATCTTGAGCTAACAGTTAGAAAACTCAGGTTTTGAAAATGCAGTTAACAAGAAATAAAACAATGAATATTTCTAGTTCCATGCTGGGTTACTCCTCATTACAGAAAATGTCTTTAATTCTTTCTCTATAATACTATTCTTTTTGGGCAAGTACATCCCCACCCCTCAGAATTCAGTGAGATACTGATGATCATCTGTATGTGGTCCCATAATCTATTGAATTATTATAGAGACTTTAATACAGATTTATTGTTTTGGTTAGAGGTGAAAGCCTGCTGAAAGAGTAGGGCATCTGTTATGCAATTTGTAGACTGAGGGTTGAG